GCACAAAGATCCTAACGCATGTACCAAAAATTATGAATAGAGGAAACACCTTCATCCATCCATCAGTTATCCATACATATGGATATCCCTAGGAAAAAGGGAGCAAGGAAAAGCAGAGACGCAATCATTCACAGACTGTAATCCTCAGAAAGAGACTCATTCTACTGTGATTGCTTTCACTTGCGTCCGCGCTTTCAAAGATTTGCGCATGGCGCTCTGAGAGCAGGAAGGCAAAGAAAATCAGACAACATACATAGATCATGTACTATGGCAAAATCACACACAAGCAATCATCACGCAAACACACATTGTCAATCACCATTCACTAAAGCGTACATTCCAAAAGAGGGAAAGAAGATACAATAACTCAATTGATGAAGAAAATTGACTGCACTCAGGCTCAGTGAGAACAGCAGAACAGCAGGAAGTACGAGCATGTGACCTCCCTCAGGCTCAGTGAGAACAGGAGGACCACAACTTCCACAAGGGGTCCTTGTGGGACTATAGGCTTCAGCACACAATGTCATGGAGTCCACGTGACTAAAGCGGCGGTCACCAACCAAGTCCGGATGCGGGCGGACTTCAATCTATTGGTGGGTTCTCCGTCCTTTGACTGGAATAGCCTCACCAAGTTCGGATGCACCCGGACTTCAATCAATTGCTGGGTTCACCTTCCTTCGAATCGAACAGCGGGTTCACAATTCTTGTCCCCTATTCGATTCAACTGCGAGTTAATTCGCAATTGAGTTCAATAGAGGGCCTCGGTTTGACCCTCTAATATTGAAGATTCAACTGCGAATTAATTCGCTGTTGAATTCAGCAGCGGATGAATCCGCTACAGAGACCAATGCCGGGTGCAGCGGCTACAGAGTTCACTCAATAGCGGGTTCGGCCTCTGTTGTAAGTTCAACAGCAAACTAATTCCGGCCGCGGTTGTGGGTGAGACTGTGCACAGGCCCGCGGGTTTGGTGTCAGCATGAAATCCGCACCGCACTTCGGAGGCCGCCGATTTTGTTTGTTAACAGCGCGGAGGGCCCCGCGGCGCCTCCG